AGGAAGGGAAAGAGGAAGGAAGAAAGAGAAAGAGGAAGGAAGGAAGGGAAGGAAGGAAGGAAAGGAAGGAAGGAAGGAAAGAAAGAAAGAACAGAGCTAGAGACGGTATCCTGCAATCCCAAATGAAGAACGATTGACCGGTAGGAAAATGGGGTGAGGAATTTTCCTGCAGACTTTTTGGGGGATTTTCCCAGGGTCTCCGGTCCGCGGGATTTAAAATGAGGAGTTTGTTGGTGCCTGAGGCCCAAAAGGTGGGGTGACCCCTGGACTAGTCCAAGCAAGAGACCCTATGTAGCCATTCCAGTCAAAATTGGCTGTCCAGTCTCTGCTCGAAAACTCTTCCAGGGATGGAGCACCCATAGCGTCTGGTGGCCAGGAGTTCCCCTGGCGAATTGTCCTGACGGTTCTGTTCTTCCCTTTGCAGGAGGCCCCTCCGGAGAGGCGGCATTCGGCCCGCGTCAACAGCCTGTTCAGTGAAGACGAGCTGATTGAAGATTATTTCAAAGAGGAATCGGTCGCTAAGTGAGAATCCTGGCTGCTTTGGGGTTCAGCGGTGGGGGAGCTTCTTGGTGTCTGTTTGCAGATAAATTAAATGCTTCTGCTTTTCTCAGCGAGCATGGCAGGCAGTCCTCGTTTAGTGACTGTTTCAAGTTACGACAGCACTGAAAAAAAGGGGACCTAGGACCGGTTTTCACGCTTAGCATGCGTCGCAGCCTCCCCCGCGGGATCAAAATACCGATTTGTAGTTACGACGGTCATAATGTAATGACAAGCAACGCCCACGGGGGAAGACAGATCTTTTTAACAACTGCAGTGATTCGCTTAACCACCGTGGCAAGGAAGGTCATAAAATAAGGCACGATTCACGTAGCAACTGTCTTGCTTAGCAAGGGGACGCTTTGGGCTGAATTGTGGCTGTAAGTTGAGGACTGCCTGGATTTCTGAGTCCAGTTTGAGCCATGAAGGCAGATTGGCATCAAGTGAGGAGGCCGTCCTTCCTCAAGACCTTTGGCTAAATGAGGGGGAGACTGATTGGGGTTCAGGGATTATTTATTTGGATAGAGGGATGAGGTGGAAGAAACTCTGGGTAAACCCAAGGTGTGTAGCCTCTGTATTTCCTAAAATGCTTATGAGATGCCCAAGGAGCCGGAGTTGAGCCCTGTGAAAATTCAGAGGTAAATCATGTTAATGTTAGCAGCTTTGAGATGGGGGCATTTCCACTCCCAGAATCCCCCAGCAAACGTCCTTTAAGATGGCTGCACTTCCACTCCCAGAATTCCCCAGCAAACGTCCTTTAAGAGCGGTGGACTTCCACTCCCAGAATTCCCCAGCAAACGTCCTTTAAGATGGCTGCACTTCCACTCCCAGAATCCCCCAGCAAACTTCCTTTAAGATGGCTGCACTTCCACTCCCAGAATCCCCCAGCAAACGTCCTTTAAGATGGCTGCACTTCCACTCCCAGAATTCCCCAACCGCCAGCCTAGCCGCACCCTTCTTCCTCAACTCAGATCCAGGATTTCCGATTTGCTCGAAGGCGGGTTTGGCAAATAAAAAAAAAACACCTTTGCTGCTCGGCTGCCTTTTAGGAATGGGCTGGATTTAATGCTCCTTTGCTTTCCTCCCTCTTGGTAAATCAAACGCTTCCGGAAAGTTCCTCCTCTTAAAGGGGCCTCCCAGAGAGCAGGTTTGGAAGGAGAGCTGGGCTGGGGGGGGTGGGACAGACAATGTTAGGGGGAGGTTTGATCCTAAGGAGTTCAGGGTGGCTGGGCGTGCAAAAATTTCAGCATCCAACATGGGTGGGTCTCCAGATTTTAAGGAACGCCTGGGTGCAAACAGGAGAGAATATTTGTAGCTCGGGGTGGACCTGAGGGGTCCCTGGCGCTCTCTGAGCTCGGTGGCTTCCTTGCAGATGTTTCAGGACCCAGCTAGGTAACATGATCAGGGGCTAAAAGGAAAGTGGGGTTTGCTGGGAGGAAGAGGAGGAGGAGGAGAAGGAAGGAAGACAACGGTGGGATCCTTGGGGTTTCTCTGAGGTGGGTGGTTTTCTTGCAGACGTCTCATGGCCTAACTAGGGAACATCATCAGGTCTAGAAAAAAGAAGTGGAGTTTGTCAGGAGGAGGGGGAAAGAGGAGGAGGAGGAGGAAATGAGAAAAGTGAGGGGTCCTTGGAGCTGGGTGGTTTTCTTGCAGACGTTTCATGACCCAGCTGGGTAACTTCATCAGGGTTAGGAGGGAGGAGGGTTTGCTCTCTGCATATACTTCCCAGAGGAAGCCATGTGTATAGAAACAAGGAACAAGCCCACATGGCTGGTGGGAGGGGGGGCGATTCTGGGAGTTGCAGTCCACTACCCCAGGGGTCTCCAACCTTGGCCCCTTGAAGCCTGGTGGACTTCAACTCCCAGAATCCCCTGGCCAGCGCTGCTTCATCATCTCTTGGGATCCCTTCCTCAGCAATCTCTCCGTTTGAATTCAGTTCTCTTCAATTCTGGGAGTTGGTCTTCCAACTTTGCTAGCGGAGGAATTCTGGGAGCTGAAGTCCTCCAGGCTTAAAGTGGCCCAGGTGGGAGACCCCTGACTTAGATGACCCTTC